TGGCAACAGTTCTGACCAAACGGTCATCAGAGTTATCTCAGCAGCCCTTGGCCATGGCTTGGAGGGAGTTGACACCAGTGTGCCTTCTTTGTCGTGGTCATTTTTCTCCATGGCTTGGTCTTAGGATTTAAGTTGGGTGTGCTCAGCGTGGCAGGTGCTGGATGGTTGCCCCCAGGACAGAAGATTAGGAGCTACTGAGGTGAATGATGGGGCTTGTACTTAGGTAGCTGCCTTGTTCCTCGGTCTCTGATAGAGCTGGGTGTTCACGTTTCCCAGTTTCGCTGTGGGAGGTGAAGAAAGGCCCCTCACAAAGTTCTGCCTTCCTGGAGTCCTCATGTCCCTACCAGAACCAGCCATCATGGCTGGCACTAGTAAAGACAATAAGCTTTTCAAAAGTAGGTTGATGGGCCCTCTGAGGCCACCAGGCTTAGCCAGGGGTCTGCAGAAACCCCTTGATGTCTGACTCTCCAGGGCCTCTGCCTTCTGGTTTCCACAAACAGGAACAAGGCTCCCCTGAGGCGGCTTGGCTCCCTTTGGAAGCCGCCGCTTCCCAGACAGTTCTCCTTTATATTGACCTGAAATCTCCCTCTTTAAAAACTTCCCTTGCTGATCCCAGTTTTGGTCTCTTGAGCTACAAAGAATCTTTTTGATGTCAAGACTGGTCCTTCCCTTGGTCTTCTTTCTGGGCTAAAGCTTACCTTTTTATCAATGGTCTCTCATTCAACTTGACTTTCATGTCTTGTCACCCTCCTCTGGATGTTTTTGAGACTCTGTGCCCACACAGCTTTCCGGTTGGCCAGAGTAATAATAAAAGCTGCAGAATTTGTCATGTAGTTGCCTCTTGGGGAGCAGGGGCGGGGGGTTGCATCTTCAGGTGTTGTGAAATAAGGGGAAAACCACTTCTCCTTGGAGAACGGACGACCAGACCTCCCCATTTGGATAGACTCACTAAATGTCTCTCTGTCACCAACTATTTCTCTGTAAGTGCCACCTCATTCTATTCTCATATCCATTCTGAGGTAGGTCATGTTGCTCCCACTCTGATTAATTCCAAGCATCAGCTATATTGGGCAGATTGCCAGAGGTCTTACAGATTGGAAGCAACAGAGCCAAATAATCAAAGGTGGATGTGGATGACTTCAAGTTCACAGCTTCTATAAATCAATCTCTGCAGTAGCCACAAGATTGATCCAGGAGGTAAGTAGGATGTTCAGTTCAATATCAGCATGGTGTCCGCTCTCTAGAGCCAGTTGGCTGTGTTTAAATCCTGGCTCTTCCTCTTACAGTGGTGCGACCTTCCATGACTTGCTCTACCTCACAGGATGATTATGGATAACTAAATGGGATGATATGTGTACAGTGCTTAGAATAATAGCTAGCACATGGTAACCAGTCAAAAGACGGTAGCTTTGTTCTTGGAGTGAACTGGAGAACATATAGTTTTCTGTTGCTGCTGTGACCAGTGACCACAAACCTAGTTGCTTCAAATAACACACATTTCTGTTATCTTACTGTTCTGTCCATCAGAGATCCAGCAGAGTTACTGGGTTTGTTCAGAGTGTCAGTGGGCAGCATCCCTTGTGGAAGTGCTAGAGGAGAACCCATTTTTCTTGCCTTCTGCAACTTCTACAGGCCACCAATTTGACTTGGTTCCTGGATCCTCCTTCCATCTTCAGAGCTAGCAATGTTGGGTCAAGTCCTTCTCATGCTGCCATCTCTGTGGATTTTTTCTTCCAAATCCTTCTTCCACTCATGTGAATCCACATGGACAAACCCAGATAATATTCCCATCTCAGGATCTGCTGATGTGCGATCTTTAATTCCATCTACTATTTTAATTCTTCTGAACCATGTGACTTGACATGTTCCCTTTTTATTGTTGTTGTTTTTTGGTACTGGGGATGGAACCCAGAGCCTTGTGTATGCAAAGCACATACTTTACTACTGAGCATCCTTCTAACCCCAAATGAAACTTTCTGTAAGGTAAGATCAGTCGTGACTATTATCTGGGCTGCTTTAGGAAAGTCTGCACCACAACTCTCTTACATCTATATTGCAGAAGCCGTATGGCCTCCCCATGCAGGCCTTGTGCACACAGCTGCAGTGCTGGCTTCCATCTGAGTCCCTCACATATGCACTTGGCCAGTCCATTGAGCATTCTGAATCTTAGGTATAGAGGAAAGGACTCCTGTCTAGTTCTCAGGCTGCCTGGGAAGATCCCACGTGCAATGAAAGACTATATCTGATGAACATATGATTATTATTGAGAGGGATTAGGGAAAAGAAACCAGGAGCTGCACTTACCTGGGTAGGTCCAGCACTCAGCTATTTTAAGATATTGGACAGTAGTTATTCCTGGTGATCTCCTAGCACTGTTTTTTGTTTGTTTGTTTGTTTTTTTAAGAACCCTGTGTAGGAAGGGGCCAAATGATATAGGCACCCATACTGTGACCTACAGTTTTTACCTGGGCCAAGAAACTCTTCTGGATGAAAGAAGTATTTATTATTTTATTATTATTTATAAATTTATTATTCACCCAAGACAGACTGCAGCTGAGGAGAAAGAACCCATCCTGTCCTCTCAGTTGGGATTGATTTTGGGGATCACTTGTTGTTTTTCCAACAATGAACTAACCTGGTCAGATGAGCAAAAAAATTCTGTGACCAGCTCAGAGTAGGCATGGCCTCACCACCAACCTCTCTTGCCCATCTCGCTCCATACATGCTCTGACACCCCCACGATTTTCTCAAAAGAGCGCAGGCTCTATCTGCTAGTGAAGGCCTGGCTTTCAGTCGCTGCATGTGCATTTCCTTTCCTGGTTAGCCTGTTGCTCAGGACATCTCTGGGCCGTTAGAGAGGTTTTAACCAGTGGTAAAGCAGGTGACAAATGCAACAGATGGCAGATGATCCCTGCAAGTGTGAACAGGTGCTGCCCCCACTGCATCCTCTGAACTTGCTTCTGCAAACCCTTGTGGGGAGGGAGTGACATTCTACTGACAGAGGCATTCTGGATGATTATGATCCACCATTTCTATACCACCTTCTGAAAGGCTCCTTGAGCATTTTGTAAAATTTCAGTGAGAAAATGAAGGATGCAGCTCTCAGTGGAGACTGAAGGCAGTTTTAGGTGGGCAGAATGCAGTTACTCAAGACAGCCTCTTGCCAGTGTGCCAACACTGGAATAAGAAAGTTCGTGTGTTAGTGGTCTTTAATTTGTCCCTGTCTATTTATCTAGGATCTTTTCTCTATCATGCATCTATTGAACTCTTAAGCAATCTCAACCAAATACTTAAAAATTACATGATAAATATGAGGTTTTCTTTTGGCTTAAACAGCTTATTAAAATTCAGAAGGTTCTTAAAAGTAATTAGATGAGCAGTTGAGAGATCTTTTTCCATGTGAGGCTCAAGTTAAGGTGAATTTTCAAAGTACAGTCCAGTAACGTAGAGCACAGGGAACCTTCTTGTTTTAAGCCACTACATCTAGTTACTTTCTTAGTCTCAGTTTTAATTTCTCTCTGTCCTGTTACTCACCTTCTCTTCATTTTTCTACCAGGTCTTCCAAGAATCACGTAAGAGGTGAGAAGATATGTTCAGAACTATTAGTATAGCCAGTCTTCCTGGGTTTTCAAATAAATAGGAAACAAAGACATAAACAGACCTCAAATTCGTGTGTTGTTTATTATCAGTAACAAAATGGGCCTGCAGCATTTCTAAGCCTCCACTTCTCCCAAAGCCCAAAAAACCAGGCCTGCTCTGTGCTTGTGAGCTATGTGTATCTTTAAGGAGTTCTCTCCAACTTGCTGTTCACCATTACACCTGTGAATTGTCCACATAAGAGGCAGAGTACCACTTTCACACCCTCTTCTTCAAAACTCATTATAGATCTGAAGGACCTCAGAAGTCATCCATGTGTGTTTTAGTCAGCTTTGAGTCACTATGACCAAAACATCTGACAAGAACAGCTTAGAGGAGGAAGTTTATTTTGACTCAAGGTTTTAGAGATTTAGTCCACGGTTGGCCAACTCCATACCTTTGGGCCCAAAGTGAGGCAGAACATCATGGCAGAAGGGTGTGGTGGAGGAAAGCAGCTCAGTACATGGCAACTAGGAATCTGCTCACCAGGGACCAAAAAAAAAAAAACCAAAGGAATGCCCCCAGTGACCCACCTCCTTCAGCCACATTCCACCTGCCTACAGTTATCATCCAGTTAATCCATTCAAGTGGATTAATCCACTGATCAGGTTACAGCTCTCATAATTTAATCATTTCACCTCTGAACATTCTTGTGTTATCTCACACATGAATTCTTGGGGGACACCCCACATCCAAACCATAACAATGACCTGTGAGCCCAACCAGCTGTGGTGTCATTCGGTTCCTTTCTCTCACCTCTGTATGAAGCGCTAGCCAGGGGGCCATTGTCAAGTCTCCTTTCCAGGCTTTATACTTCTCTAGGTGAGAGCAACAGCACACAGCATCAGTGAGTTCCTGATTCCTGGTGGGGATATCATAGGAAGAGGGGCATAGAGCCTGGTACATGGTCTTCACTGTGATTTGCTAGGAGGTATAGGTGATGAAGAGTCATAAAGTCATCAATAACTGAAGATGTTTGCACTGAAAAGTCAAGAAAATTTTCTTTATTGTTGTATGAAACATATCCCACATAGTCCTGTCTCCAGTAAACGGTGAAGATCTCAATCTCCAAAGAGTGCCAGATACTGTGCCAACTTTACACAGACCACCTTACTGAACCCTCACAATGACACTTTGAGTTAGATGCTTTGTTTTAAGCATCCATTAAAAAGCAATGAAATGCCCGGCGCAGTGGTGCATGCCTGTAATCCCAGTGGCTCGAGAGGCTGAGGCAGAAGGATCTATAGTTCAAAGCCAGTCTCAGCAATGACAATGTGCTAAGCAACTCAGTGAGATCCTGTCTCTAATAAAATAAAAAAAAAAATAGGGCTGGGGATGAAGATCAGTGGTTGAGTGCCCCTGAGTTAAATCCCTGGTACCCCCCACCCCCAGAAAAAAAGCAATGAAGCAGAGGTTTGGAAGAACAGTTTGGGTCCAAGCACTCTTGTCTTTACAACCTTACCACCAGTGATTGATTTTAAGATTCCACTGGAAGGAAGTAGTTGGGTTACTTATGTAGAGCTACAGCTCATTTCTCAGTAGCTGTGGTACCAAGCTGGACTTTTTTTCCTGCCCTTCTCAGCAATGGCCAGGCCTCCATGGTGCTTCCGCTGCTCACCGTGGATCAGAAGCAGGGTCACTATTTCCACGTTAGAGTGCAGAGGATTCAAGACTAATGAGGTCTCTGCACAAAGTAAGCTGCAGACATGGAGAATAAAGCCCTACCATGCATTTGGTATCTCCAGCAATTTCAGTGACAGCCCAGGCAGCAGCACAGTGGTAGGTCCTTCATACTGACCGCTTGGATGAAGGTGTGCAGCAGGCCTTTCTCAGCTATTGATCTTCATGCTTTGGCATCTGCTTCTGCCTCAGTGGTGTGAGTGGCAGCCAAGTTCAGGGCTGTCTGCAACAACAGGAGCTTGTCAAGCTTCTTAAAGAATCTGGCGCCTCAATGTCCCCCCTTCCATACCTCATTCTGGTTGGCAGTTTGGTTCCTCTTCCTCTTTTGGGCTGTGTGAGGAATGTCTCATCTCCTCAGCCTGTTCTTTTTCATTCCCTTCCCTTAGATACGAAAGAAAAGAAAAATAGAGAACTGAATAAGTAAGCATTTCCCAACAGTCACTGCACACCTGCACTGGAGTCGATTTACTAGCTACATTTCATCGGGACAGACTCCTTGTGATTTTCCTTTGCCCTAATGAAATGTAGGTTTTCATGATAGCATATTAAGCTCCTTTGCAATGCAAGAAGTTGACCAGGTCTTTTCCTCCAAAACTGCCAAAAACTCTGTATCAGTCTTATATTAGCACGGCCTCCAAGCACCATATGGTTATGGTTGGTATGACATGTGGTTTTCTATCATTAACAGACTTATGATAGTTCCACTTAGGTTTTTCACTTTACAGTGGTTTGAAGGTAGTTTATATTCAGTGGAAAAAGTACTTCAGATTTTGAATTTTGATCCTTTTCTGACTAGCACCTTATGGCACACTACTTTCTGACAGGCTGGGAAGTAGCAGTGAGCCTCAGCTCCTGGCCAGTCACATGGTCACCAGGGGAAGCCCTGGTCCTCTCCACAGTGTTCCATGCTGCCAAGCTAGGGGTAGGTAGGCTGGGTGGGTTAGGTGCATTTCTGACTTAACGATATTTTAAATTCATGATGGATTACTGGGACATGATCCCATTACAAGTGGAGAAGCATGTATATTTTCTGTTTATATCTTTGACTCTTAAGTGTGTCTTCTTTAGTCACCATAGTTGGATCTTATTTTTGGAATTTACGGTTAAATGCAGTCATGTGATAAATGCTTTTAAGAAAATAACTGCTTTTTGATTACTGCTTTTATGAATATGGTTGAACTTATGCTGAGCATAGTAGTGCATACCTATAATCCAAGAAATTCAGAAGGCTGAGGCAGGAGGATTACTAGTTCAAGGAGTTCAAGGTCAGCCTCAGCAATTTAGTGAGACCTTAAGCAACATAATGAGACCCTGTCTCAAAATTAAAAATAAAAAGGGCTTGAGGTGCAGCTAAGTGGTTAAGCACCCCCAGGTTAAATCCCCAGTACAAAAAAAAAATTAATATGGTTGAATTTATGCCTGCCATTTTACTTCTTGTCTTCTATGTTCATGTCGGTCTAGTCTTCCCTTATTGTTTTATATTAATTAAATATTTTCTAGCATAAAATTTTAATTTAATGGTTTTTTTCAATGTTCTTAAAATTTATTTCCTTAGTGGTTATTCTAGGGGTTCTAACATACAGCATATCAAAATCTACTTCAGTTTATATTAATTTCAGCAAGATACAGAAATGTTCCTCGTATGTAATTCTTTTCCATCCTTCCTTATTCTGCTGTTTATTTACATATTATGTTTCTATATATGAAAAAACCAATAACATAGTGCTACATTTACTAATTTATAAAATCTTATGTCTTTTGAATAAACTAAAAGAATGGCGAGAAAGTACATATTTTATTTACAGAGTCCTTATGGAACCTTATTTAAATTTCTAGTTCTCTTTATTTTTTCCTGCAGACTCAAGTTATCATGTGGTATATTTCCTTGCTCCAATACAGTGACACCCACCCACTTCCTGTGTGCTGTTATTATCAAATATGTGCATTTTCAGTATTATGCACTAACCAATATGATCATATACGTTGCTTTAGTCAACTAAATTTTTAATTTGTCAAGAGGAAAACTGCAATCATATTCTCATAATTACATAACTGCTTATATTGGTGGAGGTTTTTTAATGTGTGGATTTATATCACTATCTGTAATCACTTGTGTTCAGCCTGAAGAACTTCATTATTTCTTGTAAGGCAGGTCTACTTGCAATGAATTTTATCCTCCTACCCCCCATCTAGGAACATCTTCCTTTCTCCTTCATTTGCTAGATATAATTTTTAATTGATAGGGTTTTGTTTTGTGGGGTTTTTGGGGGGGATTGTTTTTGTTTTGTTTTGCTTTACTTTTCAGCACTTTGAACTGTATGTTAACATTGTTTATGCTGAGAAGTGAGTAGTGAAACTTCTGGAATTCCCTTGTACATAAGTAGTCTTTTTTTCTCTTATTTCAAGATAGTAAAAGCTGTCAGAATTTTTACTATATAGTTATCCTATTTGGAGTTTGTTGATTTTCTTGCATGTGTTGATTTTTTTCATCAAATTTGGAAAATTATAAGCCATTACCTCTTCAAATGTTTTATCTGGTCTCTTCTCTCTCCTTTCAGTATATGCAATATACGTATGAATGTGTGTGCTTAATGGTATGCCATATTTCTGAGCTTGTTCATTTTTCTTTTTCTCTCTATTCTTCAGAATGTACAGTATCTATAAATATAAAAGTTCACTCATTTTTCTGCCATTTCATACTTACTTTTGAGCCCTATGGTGACTTTTTCATTTCAATTCTTTTTTCAGCTCTAGAATTTCCATTTTCTTTTAATAATTGCTCTTTTGGTTAGTATTATTTGATGAAACACTGCCATGTTCTTTAATTCTTTAAGTATTGATTTTCTTTAGTTCTTTGAAAATGTTTATAATGTCTGCTTTCATGTCTTTGCAGTGTCTAATATCTGGGCCCTCTCAAACACACTTCCTTTTGTCTACTTTTTTCCTCTGCAGGGGTCATACTTTGTTTCTTTACAGGTCTATAATTTTTTGTTAACAACTGGACATTCTAGATAATGGTTCATAGGAGTTCTGGATACTAATCCTCCTCACTCACTCCACTCCCTCCCTGACTGGCTTCTTGTTTGCTTAGCAACTTAGCAAAACTAGTTCAGTGAGATCTGATCCCCTAAGTGTGGCTCTGATGTCATTCCTCAGTAGGCACAGATTTAGGCTGAGTGACATTTTGCTTTTTCCTTTTAAATGGATCTTTCCTCCAAATGGCTGTGTGAGTGCCTCTTTGCCTGATCTTTGTTGAATTTCTGGCTGTCGCATCCATTTGTTAGCCTCAGCTACTTGCTTGCTCTATTTGGTTTGGCCTTGTAGCATATAGTGTCCCCACAGTCTGATCTAATTAGAGCCAGTCCCTTTTGTAAGCGTCCTCTTTGAGCTAGGTCTGAGTCTTGCTCTGACCTCAGGAACTCCTCTTAGCTGGTCTGCTCTGCTGTCATGAAGCTGTCAGCCTCCTTTTAATTGTTCACCATGAAAATTTTTGTTTCCAAGAGCACCTTAGGCTTAAACTTTCTCATACTTTATTCCAAATGAATTCACTCCCCCCAGAAGATCTGTGGATCTCTCTGTTCTTAAGGCCTAGCTCACCCTCTAGACAGAATCTGAGTGTCACTCTTCCAGAGCTGTTGTAGGGACAGCAGCCTTCTTTTCTCTGAATGACTCCTCGGGTCTGTATGAGGGTTGCTGTCCTAGGGTGGTAACACTTCGTCTTCTTGGCTTACCTTTCACAGAATAGAACCTCCAGCCTATAAATGAGTGGTGAGGGTGAATGGAGCCAGAACTCTGCCTATTAGCAGAGACTGGTTGAGGAAAACAGCTCCTGCAAAGGGGTGGGGGGGATTAGAAATGCCAGGGCTCTGCTCTTTCCTGAAAGAACCACAACCCTAGATTTGGAGCTGTGTTTTGTGATTTTTTTTTTTTTTTTATGAGCCTAACTATCTTGGAACATTATTTTTGGGAAGTTGAAGATAGGCCCTTTGGGTAATGCTTTACAATTGATTCTGAAAGATACTAAGAGAAAGGACAAATTGGGGACCTCTTTAAAAGGCCTGACCTGTCTTCTTGACCATACTTGCCCAGAGTAGAGCTTCCATTTTACTGAGCTTCAGGGAGGTAGGGGAGAAGTGGTACCAGGTAAGGAAGCCTGTTATGGTTCCAGTGCCACAAATTCTCTGTTCTTACTGAGCTTTGGTAAGTTTTCCTAAGAAAAATCTCTATATGTTTGTATATGCACTTAGGACAATTGTCAGAGACTTTTAAATAGTTTAATTTTACAAATTTCACCAGCTATGATTGTTTCACTGGGGACAAGCGCCTTAGATAGCTTCATACTGCCATTCTAGAAGTGCTTCCCTTGTGTCACTTAAAACTGTGTGGATTTTTCTAAGTCTTTGTTACTAGTTTAGAATCCAAATATGCTTTGGGGATAGGCTTTATTCACAGGCACAGCAATCTGGTAAGGACTGTTATATGTATATGACTCATATTAAATGGCACATGGGGACTACTTGTATTTCTAGCAGTTCAGGTGGACTAGGTCATCAGAAGACCCTCCCACTGAAGAAAACTAAAATGTATAATGAGTTATTGTTATGAATATTTTTAATCACATCAAAAACTAAAATAATTAGTAGAATATACAGATATCAATAAGAAGTAAAAGAGGCAGCCCAGAGAAATGAGTAGCACATTGAAGATGCCTTCCTCTTAAGGACATTTGATGAATCAGGAACTTGAGCAACAGTTCTCAGAAGCTCCTGCTACCTGAGTAGTACACACAAGTCCAGAGCCCACCTGCAGTACCTAATGGGAGGCCATCCCTCTACACGTCTGAAACACCAAAAGGCCAAGCTTTTAGTGGAAGAGAAACAAGAAATATTCCCCTTTAGGAAACGATACAGAAGAAATATCTGTGTCGAGTACAACTAGGAGAGTATCTCCCCGAGAATTATTATAGTGCATGAGCTTGCAACCCAGCTTTATCTGGGTGGTCCCAAAAATCCTCAGGCTATTTAAAGAGGTCCCCAGCTTGTCCTTTCCTCTAGGACCTTTAAGAATCAAATGTAAAGCATCCTCAAAAGGGCCTGTCTTGAACCCAAGCCTCAAAGACTTCCCAGAAATAATATTCTAAGAGAGTTAAGCTCAGAATAAAAACACCACAAAGCACACATGTAAACCATGAACTGAGAGTAAGAAGCAACAGACATAGTAAGACATATTCATAGCCACCAAGACCTCAGATGGTAGGAATTATTAGCATGCAACAGAAAAAGAAGTAAAATTAATACCATTTTTAAAAATTTGAAAATGAAAAAGCAATTGATTATGAAAAATAACCACACATTGATAAACTTCAGAAGTGAGAAACTGATCAAAATGTGAAATTTAATGGACATATAAGCATATTAAATAACATTGAGCGAATTTGACAGGTAAATGTTGATGAAATACATTTATTTAGCTATTCTAGGTTGACGGTTTGTTTATCTCAGCATACTACTACACTCTGCCTCCCATTATTAATAGTGACATGCCAGGTATTAGATGGCTAATTGTGTTCCTTTGAGGGTTGTTTTGTTTTGGTTTTGCCTGGCCATTTTTGTCATCTTTGGTGTTCTGCATCTTCCATTATGGTGTATCCATGATTTGTTTTTATTTTCTCTGCTTGGAATTCATTGTGATCCTTGGATATGTGGATGGGGTGAGGGGGTACCAGTTCTGGAAAGTTCTTGCTAATTCTTCTGATATTACTCTTCCCATTCTTTTTTTTCCCTCAGGAACTTCAACTAGACACATTAGATCTATTCCATATCATTTGATCACCTATATTTTGTTTCTCATTTAGGTATAAATCTCCACAAATCTATCTTCCAGCTCACCAAATTCTTTCTTCATATTGAAGCCCAAGAATTATTACTAATTTTGTTATGCACAAGTTTTTGGTTTTAAAACAAAAAGTCAATAATTTTTAGAACTGCAATATGAAGTATGTCAGTGAGGTGATGTATGGTCTAAAATTTACCTTAAAATACACTTACAAAGAGGGTTAGATAGGTTCTTGAGCATTGCAGAACGTGGATGTGGATCTAAAGGATTTTGTTTTATTGTCTCTGCTGCTTTTGAAAAGTTTCATAATATAAGAGGACCAGAAACATTGACTTGGATTTATAAAATTTTCTTTAAATTTTTTTCTTAAATAATAACAATGTAAGGTTGTCAGAACTCAGTGCCTTTCATGAAATCTGACAAGGTGGGGAATTCTTTTTTTTTTTTAAATCTGATTTGACTCATCCAAAAGGAACCACAAACAAGGTGCATTTCAAGCAGGGCTGTGTGGTCTCTGAAGGCAGCACAGGGGTGAGTTCTTCTGGGCAGGAACACTCGGGCTATCCTAGATGCTAGATGGAAAGGAAGTCCACATGCTCAGCATTCACAGCTAGAAATGGACCAAGTGCTGCTTCCCCAAAACTCCCTTGATACTGGGGATTGAACCCAGAAGCACTTTACCACTAAGCTACATCCCCAGTCCTTTTTTTTCTTTGAAACAGGGTTTCAATAAGTTGCTAAGGCTGTCCTCAAACTTACAGTCCTCTTGCCTTAGCCTCATGAATCACTAGGATTACAGGTGTGTGCCACTACACCCAGTCCAAGTGCTTCTTTTAGCAGAATCAAGTTTAGCCAGACCTCCATCACCATAAGGCAAAACACTGTCTGTGATAAAGGTTAGCAGACTGTAAACCCGTACAAATGTAAGGCACTTTTCATTTTGAGAAGCAATCATAAATGCAAAAGGAAGTTACTCTAGAAAACCACTTTGGGAAACCATTTTGGGGGTATTAAAAAAAAGCATTTTGGAAAGTCACCTTGAAAAATATTAGATAGTTCCTCGAAATGTTAAAAATAGGTTTATCATATGACCCAGCATTTCCAATCCTAGATATACTTAATATAGTTGAGAATTAAAACCATGCATGCCTACCTAGAAAGTTGAAATCAAATATTCAAGCATCATTATTCACAATGCTCAAAAGTGGAAACAACCCAAAGGTCCACAACTGAAGAATGGATGAACAAGGTATAAAGCTATTCACATAATGAATGTAAGTCAGCAGCAAAAAGTGAATGAGGTACTGGCACATGTCACCACAGAGACAAACCTTGAAAACACTATGCTTAGTGAAAGAAGTTAATCATAAAAGATCCCATTTTATTATTTCATTGATATAAAATATCCAGACTAGGCAAATCTGTACGGATAAGAAAGCCAAGAATTGCCATTTGACTCCCCCATCTCTGCCCCTTTTTTGTGATATTAATTTTCAGGCTGGTTGACAAGGAAGCTAACGGGACAGAGGCTGTCCTAAAGTGGGGATAATGGAAGATCATGCAAATGACAGGCCTCCCAGTCACAAAGGTTTCCCTACTATCCAGCAGTGAGCATGTTCACTGCATTGGCAAGAGAGCAGCTATGAGTATGATGATCTCTTTAATCACCAGATCTAATGTCAAAATTGCTATGCATATAATCCCATTGTCTCTCACCCAAAAAACACAAGGGAGGATTGTGGATTTATGATGATGAAGTGACTCCTCATTTTCTGTGATGAAGGCAAACTGCTTCCCAGGACAGCTGGCTTGCACTCATCTGTGCTCTTTTTCTCCCTTTTCTCTTCTGTTTTTCAGTGGCTGCTTCAACCCCCAACTCCACTGCTGGTGCAGCCATGAATTCCTTGACTTCTCTTGGGACTCTGCAAGGACTGGCTGGAGCCACTGTTGGACTGAATAATATTAATGCACTAGCAGGTACCATAAACAGTGAGTATTTGCTGCTCTGGTGGACAGCCTTCCCCCAAATTCTCCACAGAAAATGGCCATCCAGAAATGACCTAAAAAGGATATGGAATGGGGAGAACTAAAACTTGGGATGGAGGAGCACATGCTTTGACAGGCCAAAGCTATCTACATTCATTTTATTTCAAAAAATGCCCAGCCCCTTCCCACCCCCCAATTCTTTGTACCGGCTACTGTAAGTCCTCACCCATAGTGGGATTGACAGATCTTTTCAGCTTTCAAGGAGTTTGTCTGGGTTTTGATTTTCTCCTGCTGCGAGGCAGTATGTAATTATAGAAAATTAGGCTGAGACACTGTGTCCAGCTCTGCTGCCCATCAGTTGTAGGAACTCAGGCCAACCACAGCTCCCTCTCTGGGCTTCAGAGTCTCCACTTGGAAAAAAAAAAAAAAGTAGTTCTGGATAAGAAGATCTTAAAGGTGCCCTCCAGGATGAAAATCCAAACAGTATTTACAATTACACAGGGGGGGAATGAGGTCTCTAAAGGAAAAGAAACCGAGGAGAAAAGAAAAGAAAAAGAAGAGAGGTGCTGCTGGAAAGAGCGTCATCTGGAATCTTCATTGAGCACCTGTGGGCATGGGTCACTGTAGAGCAGTGACTGTATAAATTAGGGGCATAATTTAATTGCAAGGGGGTGAAACAGGTTTGAAGGCAAATAGCTTACCAAATTATACTTGGTTCTGAAACATGTGAACTCACTAAGGAATTCTAGGATCTGTGCTATGTAGCTCACCTGACCTTGTTCCTGCCTGTCCATTTTAGATCCATGAAAGGAGTGTTGCCCAGGCCCAAGGTTAAGTCATATTTTAGGCTTGTGCCTGGCATGGGGTCCTGCACTGAGGAAGCTGATCCTCAGCCTACAGAGGGGACGCCTGATTTTCCTGTCTCTCCATTCAGTCACCTTGGGGCCTGAAAGTAGCCAAGCCTAGGAGGTCCATGACAGCCAGCAGAGCTTTCTGAGGAATTTTGGACCTACATACCTATCAGAGACTCTGGACAACCTAACACCTGCCCGTTTTAGTTTTTAATAAAAGAGGCACTTATTATTTGCCCTACTTTAATCTGTGATTCAATACGTAAACTGTTTTTAAAGGGTGATCAGACCATATAATTTTTTAAGCCAAAAATTCCAAAAATTTTATACTTTGAAAGCTCAAAAATACCAATGCAGTTTGTTTGGTTTAAAAAAAAAAAAAAGTCTGAAATTCATCCATATACAAATTAACCTGATAAGAAAATAAATCACATGTTTAGAAGTAGGAAATGTTCAGGTTTCATTAAAGCCTTTAATTCAGATGCTCTGAGAAAAACAAAGAAAAATCTGGAATGAGTTTTGTCTGAGCACAGAGAAAAGGAAACATTTTCCTTCCAAATGTGATGGCTCTCAGTTAGCACAGAGTACATGACATGACCATCTGACCACCAGAATGTTTCATTCCAGTTAGAACTGTCTCCGGCCTTTCCGCTCTCCAGCAGCTGAACAGGAGCCCTACTGCCTTGCCTCCTGTTTCTGGTACAGCTCCTCTCTGCCCCGTCCTACAGAAGCACCAGCCCACTGTCCTCACATAGGCTGAGGATGTGTTCGCACATCCCCTCATGCTGCTTCTCTTGCCCCAGGACCTAGTTCCCCTCAAACAAGGACTTTGATTTGATCGCCTGCCTGTCCTTGGTCTGCAGAGTAACAGGCCAGTGGGAATGGTTGTCCTCCTCAGCACGTGCTCATGACTGCTGTGTGTATGTCCTCTCGTCTGTGTCCTGCTCCCCTCCACCCTACTCTGTTGTACGTCGCTGGGCTTTCCCCATCATTATCGTGAGGACACAAGAGGGACTTTGTTGAATGCCAAAGAAACCACGGCTAGTTCTTGTGTGGAGTCTTATGTTATACCAAGTCTGCTCTGGCAAGGACGACAGGTTGAAATCGTTTTGCTTCTCTGAATTCTTTGCCATTGGGTTAATAGAGTCTGTACCATTCATGGGAATTGAAGAATGTTTCTGGTTTCTAATAACCCCTAACAGTCAGTACAAACCAGGAAAATGTTTAATTCAACCAAAACTCAGGCACAAATGGAAATATACATTCCTTCTCATTCAATTAGTATTACTAGTACAGAGCTCTTTTACACTCTCAACTTTGGCTTGGAACTAATAATTGCTGCTTGTCTCAAATTAAATATTGAGAGAAAACCTTCTTTGATAGAATATCATCCCCTTTCAGATCATTATTCCTCAAGAAATGACAGTGCTACCTTTTCTACAGGATAAGTCTCAAAGCAGGCAATCAAGGAATGGTCACCTGAACAGTGACTTTCTAAAACAGTTGACCTTAGCTTCCAGGTCATTGCTGTTTTCTACCCACTCTATCCCAGGAGCCATTACATGCTACCTTGAGGAGAGTACTAGTTTTCTGAATAGACCTATCTCTTCCATGGTCAAAGAAGCCAGCAAGAGAATAGGTGGCTGACTCAGCTTGGCCTAGATTTGACCCTCCTCCCTGCCAGAGTCCCCACCCCTGCCTTAATAGGACTCTTCCATTAGCAGATAAGTACCTATATTAAACTGTTCAAAATTTTTTTTAATTTTTATTGTTGGTTGTTCAAAACATTACATAGTTATTGATATATCATATTTCACATTTTGATTCAAGTGGGTTATGAACTCCCATTTTTACCCCGTATACAGATTGCAGAATCACATTGGTTACACATCCACTGATTTACATATTGCCATACTAGTGTCTGTTGTATTCTGCTGCCTTTCCTATCCTCTAAACTGTTCAAATTTGATAGCCTTTTTCTTCCCTTATACTTTAATGAACGGAGGAGCTTAAAAAATACAGCTCCCTAAAGATAAAAGCAGTAATCAGCAAGATCAGAAGAAGTAACATAGAACAATGTATAATAAAGAATATAGAATAACAGTAGGTACCTCTACATCATGGAAAGCTCCCTAGGCTCATTTTGTATACTAATATCTGAACCAAGATGAAGACTTTATGCAGATACATCCACCCAAGTCTGTACCTGATTTGATGTGTTTAAATGTAAGTCAAGTGGCATCCTTACTTTTCCTGTTTAAATTGCATAATTCTTCCAAATGACTTACTATACAGTGTTTAACATTATGATTGTTTGAATATAACCGGCCACAAATTCCTGGTGGCAAATGTTTTTGGAACTATTTTATGTAAAGTACAGAAAAGAGAAGATGCTTTGGGCACATTATTGTAGCTTGTCATTCGTTATTTGCATTGCAAAATTACTGTTTGAATATGTGTCATTGGAATTTACAAGGATGTATGTGGTTAGATACACACACAAGCACACATAGTCCACCCACATTTGTAACCTTTTAACACAGGCATGTAGGAAAGTGCCATTAACTGTATTTACATCCATTTCCCTGGTTCCAGACACTTTTATTTAGGTTCTCACTCACTAGCTTACACTTTAGAAGGATAAACCTCATCTGTACTAAGAAAGCTTATCCCAGTGAATTGGTTACAAACCTATGAGAACACCCTAATACATTACTCACATCTTATTTAAAATCTGGCAGAGTAGCTTGAAAATAAGTGGAGTCTACCTCTAATTCTACTTTCCAGGACCATATCTTCAGTAACACAAAAACATTCACGTTTATATTTTCGGGAATCTCTGTCTATGTCATTTAAAAAGATTGACTCAATAATCTCACAGCTTCTTGGTCTCTTTTGGTTGAGGACCAAGTGTGAAGCACTTGGTTATCAGGCTATATAACCTCCATACTGACCACCAGTTCCAGAGACCTCCCTTGCAGAGGCTTCCACCCCAGTTATTTGCTTCCAGCCCTGCTCATCCAAATAGTGAGCAGGAGGATCTAGATTAAATGGGAGGAAATTGTCAATCCATTTGGCCTTTTCAAAAAAGCCTTATTCTTTTTAAGTGGAGCATTTTATTCAACTTAACTTTCTTTAGACCTCCATTTCTATTGTCCAGGACTTTGAGAGGTCATCAGGTATAAGCAGCTGGGCTAAAAATTATATCTTTATATAGTGAGTATAGAAGAACATTAGTTTTATATATAGTAAGTATAGAAGTATACTTTATATAGTGAGTATAGAAGAACATTAATATAGAAGAACATTAGTTAATTCATAGGAACTACTCTCAAAAGTTGAAATCTTCCCTTTCTGGCTCTTCAAACTCTATCATATAATCCATTATTGTATCCAGGATTTGGCAAACACCCCCATCCCAATTTTCCAAGATAGTTTCGAGATTAGGTATTCTCAATGAATTTGTACTTGTTAGAGCTCTGACCCATATTTTTTTTCCAGAAAGATGGTGATCCCATAGAGGAGCAAGCTCTGGGCTAGAGAGGCCAAACCCTACCTCCGTTATCTGCACAAGTTCCTCACTAGTCCTTCCTTGGGCATTTATACCCTGTCCCTTTGGTTCCTCCTCTGCCAGCCCACTCACTCCTCCCCGTGCCCCCCCCCAGCCCCCAGAGGATGACCACCATCACTGTCTCCCACACATGTGGTATCCATAGAGGCAAACAAAACTCTGCAGAAGGCAGGTAGGTTTTCCCGGGCTATAATCTAAAAACATAACCAACCACAGTGAAGTGTAACCAGGAAGGACAAAGGACATGGCTAGAATGTCACTTAATAGAGCCTCAAACCTCACAAGGCTTCTAATGTAGTCCTTAAACATCCTTCCATCATTTCAGGAGCATGAAGTTCATTCTGTTTTAAGAGGGAAAAAAAAAAGAGCAAAAGAGTTTGGTCAAAAGAGTTCAGAGTAAAAGATAAGACTCCTGACCCCCAAAATAAGAAAGGCTACGTCCAGAGGGAAGAGGGCTAGAGGTTGGGGTACCAGTGACCACTGCAGTGAGATGTCATCTGTGTGTCTAACAAAGAGGAGAAGTCATGCTGCAGGGCTATAGACCACAGGAAGGCACGCATGGGGTGTACATGGCAAGGCCCTGGAACTCCAAGGCCCTTGTCTGACAAGCTACCAGATGGGGTGCTCTCGCCCATTCATGGAGTGGCAGGAACATATGGAGACATTAGAGTGGAGCCGAGGCCTTTAGCCATGCTACACAGAGCTCCCAGGTTTCTAGGTTCTTCAACCGTGTTTATTTGCATGACCAGAAAGAGAACAGACTCCTTCACAGGAAGAATTTAAAGCAGATCCAGCAGACCCTCTGCTGGCCACCACCTTAGTTCAGCTGCATTTGCTTGTGACCACTTCTTTCTCAGGGAATTGTTATTCCATTCTCAAGCCTTTCAAGCTTGGCTCGCCTCCTCCACATCCTTCTTTGAAGATAATGTATCCCATTACCACCTTCCAAGGCCTAGTTCTGTCTCCTCAAGCCCCCCAGTAGGAATCCCAGACCTGAGGAGCTACAAGAGTCCTTTATCATTAAGCCATGATCCAATCATATCTTGCATGTTGTCCTTTTCATCTAAGAGATGAAGTTGACAAAATATCAAAAGCACTTATGGGGTAAATAGGATACTTCTCACCTGCTCTATTTTCTGTGGATGACAAGCAGTAGCATTGATAAGGGTGTTCTTTGATCCCGAAGTATACATTTGCAAGCATCCTACCTTAGCTGTCCTGTTCTCATTAGACTTCTTATCAATTTTTTCCAGTTATTCATCCATGTTACTTTAATAACTCTAATCCCATCAAGATTTTCATTAGATTTAAAAAAAAAACTTTTTAATCATAAAGGGAACCAAAGGCAATTGTGATGTCACCTCTTCCATTTCCTGAGTTCATAAGAATGTTGACACTCTATGTATGAAGCATTGCTTGTTTTGACTCACTACTCGGGGACAATGTGATACAATCAGCAACCAGAATAAAGCAGCCAGAATGCAAGGACAAAATCAAAATAGCTACTGGTCAATATTCAGTTCCCATCGGTTAAAATCCAGGATCCAGTTTACAAATACGGTGTCATTGTTGGCTGGAAAACATGACACGAAGCTCTTTCATTGGCAGAAACCCCGGTTACCTGGGCATTGATTAATATGCATGTGTGCACGCACATGTAGGCAATAAGCATTTGCTACTAAAAACCACACCAAGAATCTTGGTTAATTGAATAAGTTGCTTGAGTTCTCTGCAGTATGAAAAGGGCCCACGTTTCCTCTTGTTCTTTTAATTCTAAATTAGCTAGGCTGTTTACCTTATTCTTAAGATCCTAGTCCCTGACCACATCCTTCAACTGTTCAGGAAAGCCAGTTAATGGAACTGCTGACTCACTGGTTTACAGAGCACAAAACTCGTCTGCTCTGCCATCTCATCAGACAGCTTAAAGGAAAAAAGTTTTATTTTATCTTTGCCTCCTCAACCCCTTGAGCCATCCCCAGTAAATAGATTTAAGTGTACAGATGTTACAGGCCTCTGCCACTAATGTGTTTTTATATGCTTCTAAGCTCTAAGAAGCAGAAGGGCTTTTATTTCAGAAAGATAACAACGGTACTTGCCAGTAGCACACTGCATGGAATTAAGATGTATTGTCTAACTGTAGTGCCTCAATGAACTTTGATCACTGGCCTAGGGAGACAGGGCTATCATTGCTTAGGTGTTCCCCCACCATTATTGTGATTTATTTCTTCATGGTTTCGTTTCTGATTTTGTTGGTTTAATTGGTGTGCTGGCTGCATGCACTTGCTGTTGTACTTGTGTCAAATGATTCTCGAACTTCCTTTGGAAAGCACTAATGAATAAGTGCTATTTCTCTTCTCTATTGTTGGGTTTTTTGTAAAGTTGCTCAAATGCTCTCAGGTATGGCGGCTCTGAATGGAGGACTTGGCGCCACAGGCTTGACGAATGGCACGGCTGGCACCATGGACGCCCTCACCCAGGCCTACTCAGGAATCCAGCAGTATGCGGCAGCCGCGCTGCCCACGCTGTACAGCCAGAGCTTGCTGCAACAGCAGAGCGCTGCAGGCAGCCAGAAAGAAGGTAGGTGCCTGCCCTGGGCGGGCCTGGCAGGCCCAGCCCTACCCTCACTTGCCTTTAGAGCACACTTAGAAGATGTGGAATGGAACAGGTGTCGTAAGGAAAGCACTTGCTTTATTGCTAATATTTACATTTTTTTAAAATGGCCCTGGGCTGGGGATATAGCTCAGTTGGTGCTTCCCTCACATGCACAAGGCCTTGGGTTCAATCCCCAGCACCACAAAAAAAAAAAGCCAGCCTAAGACATTTCTATCAGTCTTCTCTTCTGTTCATCTTATATTTATCTTTCAGTTTTTCATCAATCGCTTAAGATGAACTTCTACCCATTGGGCATTTAAATGTACTTATTCATTCTTGACATAAAATAATTCCCAGATCAGTATAGACCATAAGTTTCTCCCTTTAGTAGAAGCTGCTCGTTAGCTGAAGGGAATGAATGGACATAGGCTCGTGCCAGAGCCCCAGGTTTGCAGCATCCACTCACCCTGTAATTGTGTGACTGCCTCTCAGTAGGCGACAGTTCTCAGGCTAATGATAGAATTCACGATTAGGATCGACTTGGTCTTTGTTTAATTGGGGGTCTTTTGGGAAAGCAAGTAAGTGACTGATTGCCTTGCTTCTGAGGCAAAATAAATTTCAAGAAGTTAATGCTAAGAATAAATTAAAGCTAATTATAAGATGGCTAATGACCTATTCCAAATAAGGATAGTTTGTCATTCTTCCTTTTGATTTCTTCTTCCTTAATTGAAGTTGATATAAAGCAGAATCATCAACATGCTATTTATCTTCTTTCTTCCTTATTTAGAATGTGGGAAAAGAAGCTAGAATAGGGAAATAATAATAAAGAAGATTTTTTTTTAATTCCTTTCTCCCTTTCCCTCACCCCATTGTTCAAAAAGGCTTTTGTCTCAATACTCTGACTTTAAGCATGGTGTTCTATAAGAACTAGAATAGTTTTACTTAGTATATTTGTGATATTTAAGAGGACACAGATTAAAAGACACCCATGTGTTTAAAAAAAATAAGGTTTTCCCTTTTGATAAATAACCATGTAGATCATTAAAAATCAAAGATACGATAATCTAAGTTCATCATTTCAGCTTTTTCTCTGCTCTTGCTGTATCTGCGATTACAGCTTTTTTAAAATATACATTGTTGGGATGTGAAAGGGACCCTTGTCATGAGCACCAGAGGTCTTCTCCAAGAAAAGCTGTTTACTTGGTCCCTTTGGGGTCTATCACGGTGATAGATGTGGACAGCAGGAGGGATCCTATAAGACAATGGTATCCTCAGACAAAGAACATAAAACTAGTTCCCCCTCATGGTTTTAGAAAATCCTAGTCACCTCTCCATTAGCTAACAGGCCTTAGAACAAACCAATAGCTTGTGTCACTGAGAAAATGTCCTCATCAAGACTCAAAATTCAGTGGTTTGAGGATAAAGCCTGGACCCTGAAATAATGTTTTTCTGAACTATTTCACCCTAGCCCACTGCCCTAAGTTGGTTTGCCTTAAGTTTTAGGGACTTGTAAAACAGATCAAAATAACTTTGCTAACTTTAGGTACATAGGCTATCAGCATGGTTGAGAGTTCTTATCTGTGGTGGTAGTGGTGGCGGGTTTCGATTTGTCCAGTTTTGTTTTTTTTTTCCATCATCTCTTACCCTTATCATACCTAGGCAATTAGTAAGACCCTGACTCAAAACAAAAAATAAAAGGGCTGGAGATCTAACTCAGTGGTAGAGTCAGATCTGGGCTCAATCCCCAGTACCATAGAAAAAGGGAGAGGGGACTATATAGGATGAGGAAAAAACATAATACTACTAAATAATTCCAATACTAAATAGATTTTTAGATTTCCTAGTCCAGAGTTCTGTCCTTTAGTCAAAAGAAATGAGAGGTAATTTGATGTATTTAGTCCTGAACCCTAATATATTTTCCCCATGATAAAATAATTATAAATATTCTTCACCCCAGTTAAATCTTCTGAGGGATTATGGGAACCCTATGGATCTAAGTGCAGAAAAGCTCATCACCTTTCTTGCCATTCCTAAACATCCTCTGACCACTCTCACACCTTTCCATATTCTGTCCTTGTAGGCGGCAAGTCATAAACACACACAGCCTTTAAGCACCCCAGCAAGTACTGGTGGTCTGTGCTTGTCAGGTACCCTGTGAGAAATAAGGAGTACAAACACCTCAACCAGCTGGAGCCAGTGAATATAACATAGATAACTCTCCCAAGTTAAAATGCCATGGAAGAGGGAAATGGGACAAAACGGTGATTTGCAGATGGTAGACAGGTTTTTGTTACTTCTAGGGCAGAGAAGATGATGAGTCTCAAGTGGAATCCTAAAAAAAATAAAATTAAAAAAAAAAACTAGTTATTTTGGTACTAGATGCCTGCCTCAGTTGTAAATAAGGGTGTTTTTCCAAATGAAATTACTTTTTTGGGGAATGGGGAGATAGCTCAGTTGGTAGAGTGCTTGCCTTGCATGCACAAGGCTATGAGTTCAATCTCCAGCACCAAAAAATAATAATAATACTTTTTGCTCATTTCTATGATAAAAAATGGGGGGGGGAACCAAACGTTTTCCTTAGTGATTAAAAAACAAAAAGAAACAGCACTGAGAGGGAGGCAAATCAAAATATGTTCACACTTTTTCTTGAGAAAATAAGCAAAGATCAGAGCCTCCTTTTGATTGTCCAGCTGTCCTTGAGAGCCAAGGGTGGAGCTCAGCAGAACAGCACTTGCCTAGCCTGCACAAGACCTGGGCTCAGTTCCTCGGCACTACAATAAGAACAAGACCCGGCTGTCTCAGTACTTCCAGGGCCTCCATCTCTGGCATAGATACATTCTAAGTGCACACATTCTCAAATGCCAGCATTGCTAAGACATACCTAGGAACCTGTCTTGGGCATTCAAGTTGCATTTCCTCCCTAGGTTTCAAGAGGCCATGCACCTTACAGGTCAAATCAGATTCCATTAATCTTCATTTGTGCATTTGGATCTTTTATTGGAAGGAACATTAAATGTGGTATCAGATCTGTGCCCATTGCAAAGGATGTGCATGGCACAGCAGCACTCAGAACACTCAAACTCTCCAGAGTTTTGGGTTTTGCACTTATTCAGAAAACATTTGAGGGTCTATAGTTGTGTCCTTTCAAAGTACAGGCTGCCTCCCTTGCTCTGGAATGTCAATATATCCATAGAATTCGTGAGCACTGTTAAAGTGGTCATAGAGACACATTTCTAAATAAGAAGAAATGCCTCATCTGGGGCTTTAGGAATTGGCCTCAAGAAATCTTCCTTGTGAAAGTCCCATTTATTGGGATGCCTTTTTTCTTTTATCATTTATTTTGTGGGGGCATGTGAAGAAACTTGTTGGATGTCTCTTTGCAATGATGTTTATCCATTTATTTTTTCAAAGTTCTTTTTATCCCAATTTTTTTTTTCAGCCCAAACACACAAATACCCTTCCCCTCTACCTAGGGAACCACTGCAGCCTGTTCCCTGCAACTTCACAAAGAGGGTGGGCAGGCCTGGCTCCTCTCCTGTGAAAGCCAGCTGCAGCCATGAACCAGCTGCAGAAGTCACTCGACCGATTCTGTAAGCTCCTTCCTGCCCCAGACACCCTGCCTGGATGTCCAAGAGCCACCAAGTCCTTATTCTCCTTGCAGCTCATTGGGTTTCCTTCTTTTTCCTCTTTTAATTTTTGGACAGCTCTCCTACAGGTGGGTAGAAGTTTCTGAGAGGGAGATGGACAGGAATATAACATCTCTTCCCTTCAACCAGTAGAGCTGAGAAGGTCTTCCCTATTCTACCCTTGTTTCTGGTGTTAGCTGGAAAAGGATAAGTACAAGGGAAGAGCTTAACTTAGCTCAGGCTTTGAGAAGCTTCTACATCCATTTCCAAGGCTTAACTGGGGGTATAATTCCTGTCAAAGTTGTGAGACTCAAACTACCATTTCCCCCCACCCTGTTGACTCATTGCCAGGCATTTCTAATAAAGATGATTATTATACTGTGTGTTAAAAGATTTGGTAAAGCAAGACTGGCTGGATAACCAGGTAAAGGATCAATAAATCCAGGCAGTGTTACTGCTATATAGATGATTCTAAATCACTGCACTTGGCATTGGATACTCAGCACACACTCCCCTTCCCTGTGAGACAGTTGACCACACCCAACAGGAAACTCAGCCCCCAGAAAAACCCATGCCTAGATTCTCTGCCCTTTCCTGCCCACACCACCTTCACTCCATGAAAAGGAAAAGCAAATGTGTGCTGATGTGTGTACACATGACCCCAGAAAAACCATTTGATGAGGAAGCTACTTACAGCCAGTGTCTACTTGGAAATTAGAAAAATGTGAAGGGTGTTTTCCTGAAAGACATGTCAGTGCTTGACACTTATCTATCTGTTTATTCTTTTATAAGAAAAAAACAAATGACTTAGCCTTCCTGTTGTTAAAGGATTCCTAAGAAGAGACTTTGGGAACTAAGACTCAAAGGATACCTTACTCTGATTTTTTCTTCTTCTTTAGGTCCAGAGGGGGCAAACCTCTTTATTTACCACCTTCCACAGGAGTTTGGAGACCAGGACATTCTGCAGATGTTCATGCCTTTTGGAAATGTTATCTCTGCTAAAGTCTTCATTGACAAACAGACCAATCTGAGCAAGTGCTTTGGTATGCAAAAGAAACCAAGCTAGACTATTATAGTAGACTCCCCCAAGTGAGGAGTCATGGGAAGGAAAATGTGAAAGACAGCTATTTTTGGAGTCAGGATAGGGCCTTCGTGTGTGGTGGTATTTTCTGATTTTTCTGGATGCATGTAAGCAGATTTGGGTAAAGTTCTTGAGTCAAAATAAAGAGGAAGGGACTATATTAAAAGAATCTAGGAAATTTCCTTATATTAGGTAACACCATATGCCATAGTGTCTTACTATATATCCCTAATAATCTTTTGTTGTAGAGCAATAGCCATTTCTTCAGGCCCTTCAGATGGAAGCATGAACTTTCATCAGATGGAAACAGAGATTGCAGTTTAGTCTCTACTGGTATACAGTAGAACTGCAGACACTGCCAGTGACTCCTTATACTTTCAGGTTTAATGACTCAGAAACCGAGGCATGGGTCACACTGTTAAGTACACACACAAACACACACACACACACACACAGAGCCACAAATACACACACATTCAGAAGCAGGGATGCCAGGCTGCTGCTACACTGCATTTCCACGTGCATAGGATGAGCAATTGATGTATCTCATGCTTACACAGAACACTGTGTTATGAGGCATTGGAGGGCCAGAATTTTGGTTTGTAAGACTGGCAGGAGCTAAGTGGGTGGGTATGGAGCCAGAGAGGGTGCATGTGTTATCCAGACACAGGAAACCCGGCTTCTTAGCACACCTAGTTTTCATACCATCTCTCCTCAAGCAGCATGGCCTCTACATCCTGTGGCATTTTGGGCTCCCTAGGAGTGTGAGGAAAACTCACAATGTGCACTGGTGTTTACAACAGGAGGACAGTATTTGTTTAATCCATTCATTGTTTTATTTCTCAAACTTGTTGGCCCCCAAAGTAGTTTAGAGACCAGGTGTTCACAGCATCTATTGCTCATCTGGCAGGCTCTGACCCAGTTTGAGTTTAGAGCATTTGCTTTACTCATGCCTGCAACTAAATAATTCATGTTGGTCGCAGGCAATAACAGTAGCATAAAACAAGACAGAATAGATATGAGCCAGAAGAAACAGAACTGGGTGTCTGTCAGCAAAGAGGGAGTGTGGTTCTCAAATACCTTCAAGTTCATACCAATTCAGTTGACTGGTAGTGGGTAACCAGGCCAAGGAGAACATCTTGTATCCTAAAACTACATTATCATAATGCCTAATTTCTGTGCATCACCCAGGAAGGTCAAGCCACTGTCTTTACTGCAGTGGAAAGGCTGTTGCTGTGCTAACTATATGAACCCCTTTGTAGTGGTTCACAAGAGGGAAATGGAAGTTAAGTTGTTTCATGGGGGGCTTTGGGGGCCAGAGTTTACCTGTGGAAGGCTTCCCCACACAAGGTTTTGAAGCCAACATTTACATTTTTCACAGGTGAGCAATCTTCTAGGCTCATATGGAGACTAGAAAGGGACTGTGCATTATGGTTCAATTTGAGAAAATATGTCTACCTTGAAAAGAGATTATATATCAGTCCACAAACTACTTAACCAGTGTGTTCATAATGGTACAAGTTACAGCCTTAACTGTATTCCTGTGAACTAAAAGCCACAGCATCCCAGGCCTCCTGGGAGCTAGCCTAAGTTCTTAGGAATCCAGTTGGCTAAATTCTGAGTCATATGATAGCCCATTCTTTTGTTCGTACCTCTTGGCTGGGTTTTGGTATCCATATCTTGACCCATTTCCATCCTTTAAGCATCTTGCTAGTTCAGGATAAAGACCCTGAGGGAAAGGAGAGAGTAAAGTCAGAGCAAAAAATATTAGATTTGAGATCACATTTATTGGGAATTAGATGTAATACTAATGTAAGCAGCCATTTTTGCAAGGCAACCTGCCTACGAAAAGCTTTTCTGCTGTATGACCATTTTTATTAAGTGAGGAGAGAACGCTGCTCAACGTGTATTTATGTCCTTTGCTTCCTCCTCTGGTTTATAAAGGAATTTTCTCTTTAGCCTTAAACTTTCACAGTAAATAGATGGAGGCTCTTAGTATAGAACCTTCTGAACAGTTGATGTTCAGAACTGAAATTAAATCTATACAATAGCTTCCTTTCAACTCTAAAGCCAGTAGGAACTATAAGAGCTTACTACTTGCCTCAACTTAACCAATGCTTTGCCTGTACCCCTACCTTGGCCTCACCCTCCAGTGTTAGAACAAAGTAGGATCAGAATTCTGTTTCAAGGCCTCTGCAGAGCATCATGGGTCCTTTTTCAAAACCATACCCTCTCTACTGCTTTTGGCAGAGGATGTTGCTATAAACAAACATACTGGGAATTCTGTTGAGAAGATTGTTAAGTCCTAAGCTTTTTAGACCATTTATTCCTCAAGATTTTGAGAGATTCAAGGTAGCAATTTCCTTCTAGTTGAATTTTCTGAAGTTCTGCAAATGGAAACAGAGCTGAGGGGAAAATGAAAACCGAGCTGAGGGGAAAGGCCCAGCATTTCCTTGGGTTCTTCTCAGAAATGACTACAAAACATTAAAAATGAAGTATAAATTATCTAATTCAGTAATGGGTTAATTCTGTAGTTGACTCATCCTCTAGCTAAATAGGTGTGGGCACTGACCACAACTATAGGGCCCAGTCTCTATGTGCTGCACTGCAGGGAATTGGCAACCCCTCCCTTTTCCACGCCTTTCAGCCTCACTGGTAGGAACATGTGAGCTACTGGGGCCCTTGTAGCCCTGGAATATTTGTACCACTGCTTACATGAGTGAGGCTTATCCACCTGCAGGTCTTTCAGAGGGATTCTAAGGGATTTGAAACACAGATTTGACTTGAAAGCAGTAAATAAGGAGACTAAATTCACTTAAACAACAGTTGCAATTTTAGTTTTCTAAGGCAGGGTTTTGCCTTGTGTACCTAATTACAAGTCCAGATACCTTTTTTACTACTTCTCAGTGGACATTTCCAGCATCATCCACCCCTCAGACATGCCCTGGACACTCATGGCACGCAATAAACTGAGTAGCACTCCACTGAGCTCGAGGCCGGCACCTATGAGCATTTGCAGTTATACTGTGCCAGCCATCCCCATAGCCCTGGCTCCCCTTTCTGCTCTGCTCCCACTCCATCTTGACCCACCTTCCTTCCCCTTTGTGTTTTCCAGGTTTTGTTAGCTATGACAATCCAGTCTCTGCACAAGCTGCGATCCAGGCGATGAATGGCTTTCAGATCGGCATGAAACGCTTGAAGGTGCAGCTGAAGCGCTCCAAAAACGACAGCAAACCTTACTGATCCCAACCCCAGAGGCTCCCTGCTCTTATTTTAGCTTTCTTAGGGTAAGTCCCACAAGCCAGCCTGTTCTCAACAGGGAAGGCAGAGGAGGACCACATTGCCAACTTTTACCAAGAGAGACAGTTATTTTTACAATAAGGCCTCCATTTCCCCCACCCAGCCCCTGACCCAGTCTGCCATAATTAAAACTTGGGCTACCTTGTTTATATTGAGTCAATTCCTCCTCCAGTTGTGCCACTGTATTCTCCTTTGTTTTGCAATTTGAATCTCCTTTTACCTTTTTTTTAAATTTTTTTTTGTTTTCATTTTTGCTTTTTTAAAGAAAAACATATATACAAATAAATGACATCTTGAGAATTTAAAAGGCAAACAAATGCTGATGTGCAATTCTAACTCTGAAACCACTGGTGCCCCGAGAGCACTGCCTGGAGCATTCACCCCTCCTTGTCCGCGCCCACCCCTGCGGAGGGCCCCCTGCGTTTAGCGAGGTGGCCTAGCAGAGGGAGAAGCAGGAGAAGCACTTAAAACAACACAAACGTCTTTCCACTACATCGGTTTGTTTTAATAAGTAGGATTTTATTTTAGGGTTCAAAGAAACATGACATTTATCGGTCAGATTATTACACTGGTTGTCTATTTTGTTATTGTTTTATTTTTGTTTTTAGAAAGGATTAATGTAAAAAAAAGATTTAGAGATCTGTTTCTTAAAGCTACAGGGTTTAAAAATAAAATAAAAATGAGTGAAAATACTTGATGTTTCTTGAAAGATAAATTTAATAATAATAAATAAATACATAAATAATACATAAATAAAAAGAAAGCCACAGGCCTGTAAATTTTATTTGTAAAAAAAGCATTTCTATTTTTATACAAAATTTTTACTGCCTCAGAAATAATGGAAGTTATTTATTGCCTATTGTTAACTTATTGGGTACCTAAAGAGCAGTTCTCTGTCTAGCTAGAACCTTCTGAAGTAGTCTCTAGAGGAATTGTTCTAGGAATGGGCTTTTTCACCGTTGAACCCTAGACCTAAAGTTCATGCTTTATCCTCTCGTTGTTTGTATCTGTCTGATTATTTTGTTCGTAATTTCCATTATCTAGTTTACAGTTCAGTTGTCTGACTTCCCCGTATGTTACCTTTGTTGAAACTGGACCCTCTTCCCTTTCCAGTCCCTCACCCCAAAACACCCAGAATCCATCCCTTCTCACTCTCCAGATGGATTCTCTTGGGGTTTCATTGTGCTGTGGAAAAGAGTGTAAGAAATGCAAATTATGTGAATGGCTCGTAGACTCCCCGAAGACCTAAGATTTGCATTAGTTTTTCTCCTGCACCCTTAAAAGTGATTTTGTTGCTGCTGCCTAGATTCTGTGTAACTTTTTACTCTTCCTTGTTTTTTCCCTAGACATCTTCATGCCCGTTAGTTCATCGTTTGCCTAGCATGTCCCTGTGGCGTCTCAAAAAAAGTTTCATCGTCCCGTCATTGTTTCTGATGTCTTTCTGACCTCACATCATATTTGGTTCTCCTACTGACCTTTGATCTAGTTTGACCTTTGAAATTTGCATGTGACCTCATCTAGCTATGAATTCTGGGAAGTCAATGTGAAAAACATTGCTGCATTCATGCAAGACTGAAATTATTAGACAAATTAATTATAGAAAAAAAACCTGTGGCAAAAATGTTTCTTTCTTATTTTTTTTTTCTTTCTTTTCATAAAACAGACTTGAAAGTATTATACAGGGATTGGCATTCTTCCCGGTCACTGGTAACAATAGCAATATGTGTCCAGGGACACAGAATGTTGGTTTCTAACAGACTACTTCCAAAAACAGTTTGAGAAAAAAAACTGTCTGATTTTAAGTCTCTAGAGGTCTGTAATAGTTTTTACATTTTTCAGGCAGTGTAAAGTTTTTTGATAAGGCCATTTTAGGTGGCTCACTTTCTCATTAAGATATATATATAGAACCACTTTTTGTAGATTAGTATAAGAAAAATATTTACCCTGTTTTGGGGCAAATGCTACCTATTTGTGTCACCTTTTGCTGAACTGACTCACAGTTAGACAATCCATGGTTTAATGCACATGAAATTACCTATATTTTATACTGTTTCAATGTACAGGAGAAAGGTTACTGTAAACTGTGTTATGTTGGTGCTTCCGTGAATTAAGTTGTGGTTTCATCATGAGTCTTACGGTCTTAATGTTCTCTGTTGATAAGACAAGTTTAGAATTGGTTTACTTAAAACAAAAAACAAAAAAAAGAATTTCAAAAAAAAAAA